GACTGAGTACATACAGAATTGCCAATTGTGATAAATGTCACAAAGGGAAAACACAGTGTATTCAGAGAGCTCTTCGGGGACCTGGTCTAGTCAAGAAGCTCATGGGCCGGGATGGGAACTTGGGGAGGCGGGGAGCACATGGGCTGCAAATGTGAAGGCCTAACTAGCTCTGGTGAAGACCAGCGTCCAGCCACGGGACCAGCACACTGCCTGAAGTGTATCTCCTTCAGCAAAGCAAAAGCAGGGCAGAAAGTGAGGTTAGGAGAAGGGACAGTGAGGAGAAGGGTATGAGGCTAAGGGCCGGCAGATCTTGCCCTAAGGCCTCTGAAGATTGGGCACTACCAGAAAAAAAGGGAGCTCCTAGGTCTGCAATGTAAATCTGCAGTTCTCACCTCCACTGTACCCCTTCTTCAAGGAGTACCTCAGGGTCCCACCCCATGCAAGACGAGCAGCGATATTTTCAGGATTGGAAAACATTTCAAAAACAGCAGGCACATGCTTACCTATGTGTGTAGGGGGGGTACGTGTTCAAAAACATACATGTATGAATGTATGCATACACACGTCTTGTTCATCACGCACCACCTTGGGACACATCTCTGATCGATCTTAAGCCATAAGCCTTTTAGAGCCCAGGATTTCGACAGGCAGTTACAACCCTGCTCCCCATCGCACATGCCCTTCCGACTGTGTGACCCTGTGCTGCTCCACGACACTGAGTATCCAGACCCCAAATTGGCATTTATCATTGCCTTGACCAGGAAAGAGAGAGGAAGTGTTACCATGGGGCTCCTGAGGCTAGGACATAAAAGCACCATGGCCCCCTACCTTGTTCCCTTGGGACTCTTGCTCTGGGAACCCAGCTGCCATGCTCTGAGGAAGCTCAAACTGATCCATGTGGGCAGACCACGTGGACAGACCATGTGGAGAGGCCATGTGTGGGTCTGGGCCAACAGCCATCTCAACCCCAGATGTGGGAGTAATATTGCCTCCGCTGACTCTGGATCCAGCTGTCAAGAAGCCCAGCCCCGCAGTCTTTCCAGCTGAGGCCCCTGACATAATGCAGTCAAGCAAAGCCACCCCTCTGTGGGTGGCTGGAGGTACCGGGGAGCAAAAGTTAATGGTCGTTTTATACCATTAAGTTTTGGGGTAACTTGTTACACAGCAATAGTAACTGGCACAACACACACACAAAAAAACCACCACAAATAAGTATGTGTGCACATGTGCATGTGTTTTCTTTCTTAGCCACTGTTCGACCTCCCGAGGCCTTCTATAGACAAGGTCTGGAGTTCCTCCAGAGGTAGAACCCCTAGGCTCTATCCCAACCACTTCTGGAAAAAGACAGCCAGAAATTTATACCACAGAAAAATTAAACACTTTAGACCACTTGAAACATACAAAAATAATCCATTCTCGTTGCAAAAATAAGAGAATACCCTCATTAGCAAATCTAACACTTTATTTCAACTGGCTCTGAAAACAGAGATCAAAAATGAGATCTTCAACCAACCGCAACAACTGAACAGGACTCCAGGGGCTCACTGCTCCCCAGTGCTGAAGGCTCACACTTCAGAATCAGCATTTGTAGAGAAAATAAAGCAATGCAAATGAGGGGTAATTAGCACAGTGCCAGGCTCAGCAGAGCCCACCAAGCTCTAGTTCTTACTGTTGCTTCTGTCATTGCCAGAAGTAAGATTTTTCTTGATTTCAGCACTAACCCTCTCTGACCTAAATTAAACAACCCTCGTGTTCCATCTCGGCTGAAAAAGTCAGTACAGATTCTTTCCTATATGGCAGGCAAACAAATACTGAAAATCTTTTCCGTATATAACTAAATCTGCACTTGGTCAGAAGCCAAGAAAGGGATTTCCAATTTCATATGATTAGAAATGTTAGACAACATTATATAACATAACTGACACACATTTCTATTTGATATGGTAAAAGAACTATCCTTTTTATGGGGGAAAAAGATCAATATGTGTTAGAAAACAAGCTCCTGAGATGTTGTCTTTAATAATCACTACATGGCTTTTGAGATAAATAAATAAAAATGTACCTTTGATTACTGTGCAGGTGCTACCTGGGATTATATAAATATTACAAAGCTGAACCCAAAAGGTGGCACAAACATCAGGAGACAGAAATGGAAACGAACAGCCTAACTTCAGATTTCTTTTTTCCTCTACTCCGCAACTGCTGTGTGACTTTAAGCCAATTGCCTGGCCTCTCTCAGTCACAATGTCTTTTAAACAAGGCTAAATTCCAAACTTTTACCATACTGAAAGGATCATTAAGTTCAGCGGCCCCCAAGTTCCCACAGTAAGAGTCACTGTGGGAGTGTTTCTGTACACTGTACGCTGAATAACTATTTCCCGAGCAGAGATGTCATCATTTGCGGAGTTACATGCATTAATCTGTTAAAAATTGTCTTGAAAACTGAGCTGGCTGCAAAATGCTGATGTGCATAATATATGGGAATCATACATCTCTAACAGAGGACATGATTAGATGTTTGATTACGAGGAGCATGTCATTTGGGGGAAACTGAGGCTGCTGGGCATCCTCCATGGCACCCGTGGCTTTTCCTGATTAGACCCTCAGGCACTGGCCAGGGGTTTTCCCACACGGGACACAGATGGAAAGAGGAAGGCAGCCAGGAAGAGACGGCATGGGAGCTGCAGGATGAAAGAAAAGGGATCTGCTATGGATTGCACTCTGAGTCAGTAGCACCTGGACAGAAATGCCACTGCCAGGGAAACCATTTCAGAATGACAGTCCGGTCACCAGGCTGCAAGTCTGCAGCATATCTGACCCCTACCCACTCCGAGGTGGCCCATCTTCCCAGAAAGGGGCAGGCAGCCCTCCACCACACACTGACCATCTCTATCCAGAAAAACGTCATTCATATCCCAGAAAGTGGTGGGAACCCTGTGACTCGGAGCCCAGCGTGCTGGAAAAATGGCCCCCACCAGAGGTGGCAGGCTCTGTCCACTGTTGGGCTCTCTGCTTGGGAAACTGAGAGCCCTCCTCGGGAGCCTCCACCAGCAGCCCGCTGCCTGGCAGGTCCAAGACCGCCTTCGGAGTAAGGTCCTCCTTCGCCATCCAGGCAGGACCACCTCCTGCATCCCTGGGCCACAGCATGTGGGACTCAGAGCCCTGGAGAGAGAGGGGAGCCCAGGGTTTCACTGAGGTCCAACGCTGCCTCTGTCTTATTACCATATATGATGAAGTCTGTCAAGAGGTCTGGGAAGACCTGAGTGACCGTCTATTCCAGTGTGAGGCTCAGCAACAGCCAATGTGAGGGGATCCCTTTTCTGACTGATGGCACCTTGAAATGTGTCACCATCACAATCTGAACACCTCTGTTCTCCACATCACAACGCCTTGTGCCGCTGCGATGTCCGTCCTAACACCCCAGCACACCACCGTGGACGCAGCTATTCCCCCACAAACGCTGGCCCTTTGGAGGGCCAGGGTAGAAAACCATTTTACAAGTCTTCCCTTGGCCCTTTCAGACAGCTGCGCCCACAGTCCGAATTGATTTTAGCAGACAACTGTTCTGAACACATTTCTGCACAAGGTCTATTTCAGCTCCGGAAAGGCCAAGGGCAAAGATAAGACTGGAGTGTGTGTGAAAGAGCAGGGAGAAGACCCGGCAAGCAGCGGACACAGAGACCGAGGGACGGTGGCCCCGTGCTGCTCATTCCGTGCACAGCGCACAGCGGCAAGTCCACCCGGGGTGCCAGGCACGCGGTCCAGGTCTTCTCAGAGCTCGCTCCAGCAGTTTCAGAACAAACCCATACTAAACCCGGGATGCCCCGGTCACACTTTTTTCCCACCCCAAGATCCGACACCTGCTCGGGAAAGGCAGGGCCAAGGAGCTAAGCCTCCCACCTGGCTGGATCCACAGGGACAACACTTAGGAACAAGGTGTCACCCAGCTGCCAGCCCTGCAAGCCTCGCACACCGGAGCGCACAGGTGGTTACCTGCACGGGTGCTGCATCTAAGCAGCACAACTTCACTCTCAGTAGTTGGGGGGCCGGGGAGCTGTTGGCTAAAAGTCCCCAAGACCATCACCTCAGGTCCCTTCAGCCTAAGGGACAAGGCACCTGGGCAGAGGCGCAGGCAGGTAGGGGTTCCCAGGGCAGCCGGGCGCCCAAGCCCGCCCACTTCTCCACGCGCGGCGCCCAGGGCTCCTCCTCCGACCCCGCGAGGCACCGGGGCACTGGATTCTCGCACCAGCCTGACCTCGATGTGGCCCCGCAGCCCCACAACCTCCAGCCCCGCGCGGCGCGCACTCACCCTTTCGCTCCCTCAGGCTCGACAGCGACCAGAGCAGCAGCGCAACCGAGGCCAGGAAGCACAGCTGGCTCAGCAGAAGGTCCCCGCGGCGGCGGCGGCGACCCGGGCGCGCGCGGTCCTCGTCGCCGGGCGGCATCCTCCTCCTCCTCCTCCTCCTGCTCGGGCGGCGGCGGCGCCTGCTGTCGCGAGCGGCCGCGGCGGGGACGGCGGCGCAAGGCAGCCCTGCGCGCGGCACCCGCGCGTCCTCGTCCTCGCCGCGCGCCCTCCCGGCCGCCGCCGCCTCCCCCGGCGCGCCCTGCTCGCGGCCGTCGCCCTCGCCGTCGCCGCCGCCCGGTGCCTCCTCCCCGCCCTCCTCCGCCTTCTCCGCCTTCGCCTCCGCCTCCCGCTCGCCGCGCGCCCGCGTCGCCGCCTCCCTGCGCCTGGGGTCCCGCGCCGCCTCCGCGCGCGCCATGGCTCCCACGCTTAGTGCCCGCGCTCGGCCTGGGGCGGCGGCGGGAGGAAGCAGAGGCGCGGGAGGAGCAGGCGGACGACAGGAGGCTCCGGCCTCGCGGGGTGCGGGAGCGAGGCGCGGGGCCTCCGGTCTTCTTCAGTCAGCGCGCAGGGCCAGGAACACCGGGTGCAGAACGCCGAGCGAGAAGAGCGCGGGCCAGCGCGGCTGCTCGCGCCGGGTGGGCGGTGAGGGGCGCACGGGCGGGAGGGCGGGGGCAGTGCCCGGCACGCGGCCCTGCGCGGAATCCCGAAGGCTTCTGGTGCTGGAGGTGGGGGCGGCGCGGGGGGCCCACTCGGGACGCGCGCGAGCCGGCGCCGGAGCCAAAGGTCCACCGAGAAGTATTCGCCCGAAACTTTAGGAGAAACCGAGGGACTGGTTAGCCCCCTCCCACCCGCAGCCCTGAGTGCGCCCCTGCCCCCCACCAGGTTGCGCCCCTCCCTGACTGGGTGCGCCTGGCTGCCTCGACAGGCCTCCTCAGGCAGGCCTCCGGGGTTCCCCTCTGCCCCCTTGTGGGGATCCCCGTGCGCGCCAGCGTGTTGGCTCTCCAGGGGTGTCCTGGCTCTCCCCTCTGGCCCAGGCTCACACTTGGCAACCTGATGTGCTGGACCCAATCCAGGGCTGTGGCTGAGGGCAGTGGCCACTGGCACAGTCCCTAGGAGAGATGGCCTGAGGGTCCATCGCCAACCTGGGGAGAATACCGCCTGTGCCCCCGGAGATTAGAGCACTGGCCCCCACTTACCTGTTCCCAGTTCTTCTGCTTTCACGGAAGGATCCATCAGGCACCCAGAGAAGAGAGGTCCGCATCCCCAGAGTGGATGCCCAGAAGACTTGCAGTCCTCTCCCAGCTCCTAAGGTGCTTTTTCATCCTGGCACTGTCCTGCCTGAGCTTCCCTGGCCTCCCGGGTGTCCCCCTTCCGCTGTTGGCTGGATGACAAGTACAGCCCTGAGGAGCTTTTATGGTGGGGCTGAAAACTAAGGGCTTGTTCCAAAAGGAACCCAAGGGACCCAGATTCCAGGTGATCCGAGGGAGTCTAATCAGACCTGGAAATCTGGCTCTAAGGAACGAAGGGAGGAGGCAACCTCTGTACAGGTTTCCCACGCCTAACGTCCAAATGAGTGCCCATGGGTGGGTGACCTTTTGACCTGCAACCTCCCAGGTGTCCTGGACAGCAACTGGGGACAGTGGGGCCAGGCCGGTGGGCCCCTTCCCATTTTACCTGGCAAGAGTGAAGGACTTGCTTCCTGTGTGTGTCACACTTACTTCCTATCTTTCCCGACGCTCAGAATCCCTTCCGCCCGTGCCTGAGTGTTATCCCTTGGCTTAGGGTCACCCAGAACCAAGGAGGGCTCAACATACATGGCATCCAGGCTTCAGCACTGTGGGGATTGTCTTGTGGTGTCACCTCCACCATGCAGTCAGAGACACAGAAAAGCAGGCAGAGATGCTCAGAACAAATCAAGTGACCAGGAAAAACACTGCAGTGGCAGGGGCGTTTCCTGGTGGAAACTAGGAAAAGTAAAAGGCGAGGCGGAGAACCTGGAACTAATTGAGTTAGGGGATGAACACCCCTGGCTCAGAGGGGAAAGTGCCACACGCACAGGAGTTGGTGGGTGGGGGCGATGGGGAGCACCCAGGAGCACCCACAGTTCCCTGTTGGATGGGAGAGAGGCACCTCAGAGTTTCTACTCATTTTGGTAGATTTTTTATAGCAGTGGGAGGTACTGCGAGTAAAGCAGAAGGATCCATCCGGCACCCAGAGAAGAGAAGTCCGCAGCCTGAGAGCACGCAACCCTCCTCACCCTCCATCATGGCGCCTCTGCAGGAATCTGCAGCACCCCCATCAGCTCAGGGCCAGGTGGAGGACCATGGACCCTGGAGGAGCAGGGTCAGCCCAAAGGGGCTCCTCTACCAATGGAAGCCATGCCTCTGTCACTCCCTGCCCCGGAAGTTCAGCCAGAGCCTGAGTTTCAGAAGCAAGGAGCAGGAGCCAGGGTGGAGAACGCGTACATGAGCATCCCCTCTCAGATCTGCATGAGTCCTGAGGAACCCGATGCATTTTATTCCTCCATCTGTGTGCATTTGGTCCCCATTTGTGTGGCTGCTGTTAAGGAGACGATTTCAGGCTCCTGCAAGGATCAGAGAAAGTCTGAGAATGACATCTCCCCTGACATGAGGTTCCTTCGGCCTTCCAGGAATGACACAGGGCTGTTCACAGGGCACCAGCTCATCAGTTTCCATCTCCTGTACAGATAGTGTGGGGCTTAATGTGGGGCATAAGCCTGGTTGCTCTTTTACCCAGCCCTGCCTTTGAAACAAAAATGGAAGGGGTCCAGTGACCACCTCACTTGACTCAGCACTGGCCAAGCCTCCCACGCCAGCCAGCAGGCCTTCCCTACGCTGCCCCTCGGCCTTCATGGCTCACCACCTGCCTCACCTACGGTGCCCAGACCTGAGGGTAGTTTTCATGACAAGGCCAGATTGCGCCACTGGAACACCAAATGCTGCCAGCGTGTCACACAGATGAGCCACTGATTTAGAAAGGGACGGAAGAGAGGACCAGAAAATTCCAGAAGCTGCTTGCCTGCCATGGCTGCTCCCTATAATAAGGAGATGAGACAAATCAAATATGGGCCACAGATGTCCACAGAAGCCACTAGGCATGGGAAGAGTGACACTGGCAGGTGGGAGGAGGACATGAAGTCATCCTTCCATTACCCATTCCTGAAACAGACCTTGCACGCTACGGCTCTTGCACGGCCAGGCCTGCTGTCATCATGGAACCCCAACCTGGTCTTAGGAAGTCGTCACATTGATGGTATCGATGGGTGCTGTGTCACCTCCACTCGAGGCCCTGACACATGCATCCTCACAGAGATTTGCACAAACTGCACTTTCCCTAGGACCCCATGAGATTATTGCTGCCAACTCTCCTGCCAGGGCAGCATTTCACAGGACAAAAAGCCAGTCCCTGCTCTGCAGTGAGTCCACACTCCCCACCTCGAACCTTTGAAAGCACCATGAGGACAGGAGGGACCCAAGTTAGTTTAGGCGTGTGGGATACAACTGCAGTCCAAAGGAACCACTCATCTGATAGTCATTCCCAAGCTTTAATTTTCTTCTGCCCAGCTATGTACATTTATTTATTGTTTTTTGACTCCCTGCACAGACATGATAGATTTTTTTCAAGTGATTATTGTCATATTCCCAACTACATTTTAATAAATTTGCTGAAGTATAATATGCAGAGGGCACAACACACACAGTGTAAGCACTGAGCTCAGTGACTTTGTGGATCTGTAAGTTCCTTCCAAGTAAGTTCCACATCAGGGCACAGAACATTTGCTGCTCACCCCACACACATCTCCTCACACAGCCCCTCCCAGGCAGTAATCTTGCCCATCTGACTCCTCCCTGGCTTCTGGTGCTAGATGGTGGTTGCCTGCCCTCGGTCTGTGGGTAAACAGAGACTGCTTTGGCTCAGCACATGCGCACTAGTACATGAGGCTGGGATTATTCTTGCACATTTTGTGTACATGGATGTTGCTTTCTACCTGATGTTTCAGTTCTTTTCCAAGACAAGAATGTAAGCCAAGAATAATCAAACCATTGCATCTGGATCAGAGACACATGGATGACCTTGCAGATTGGCCTGTTTTAGAAGGAACTCCAGCTGAAATTGAAATAGTCCTGGGCTGCTCTGCAAACCAGGTTCCCCACTTAAGAAGAGGCCAAGGTGAGACTGTAGGAACACAGCCGCTGACAAACTTCAGACAAGCTAGACTCCCCACAATGTCCCGAAATGTCTGCACAGCCTGTAACAGAAAGAGGCAGTTCAACCCCTGTTCTGGGCATCCTTTCCACCTTTGTCTTGTGACAGAGCAGAAAATGGAGCAGGCCCCATCCAGAAAGCTGCACACCAGCCCTGATGGTGCTGGCAGGTGTGAAAGGCACCTGCAGCAATGCCAGCCCCACCGAGCAGCTGAACCAGGAGGTGCCACGCCGCGCTATTGGCCACTCCCAGGGAGTCTTCCATGTGAAGGCTTGAGAGCTATGGTGCTTGAGGAAGGAGCAGGTTGGTGTGAGTTTCGGGTGAATCCCGGGGGTGGGGGAAGCCATTTAAAAGGAGAAGTGTAACATTTGTCAGTATTTTCAATGGACTTGTTTTGAGTGTTTTAAAGAAATGTAGAGTATACAGTACACTCTCTAGATATTTCTCCATCTCTTGTTTTGCATGAGTTTTTGTTTGAGACAAGGTCTCTCTAGTTCATGCTGGCCTTCAACTTACTATGTAGCCCAGGCTGGCCTTGAACTCATGGCAATCCTCTTGCCTCAACCTCCCCAGTGCTAGAATTAGAGACTGCTCTACTGTACCTATGTTTTTTTTAAAAACAAGGATGCTATATTATGAATTGTGTAATCCTATTTTGTGAAGTTCAAGAAAATCACCTCTCACCCTCACACTCTCTCTTGCCCATATACGTGATCCTGATAGAATAAACAAATTCCTCAAATTACAAAAACACTTAATTTTTTTTTCCTCTTAGGCTTTAAAAATGGTTAGCAATGGTTCTCCTGGAGGTGGGATTGTAGGACTTAAGGAGACAGTGAGGGATAAGGAGGGGTTTTCACTTTTTATCTAATTCTCTAGTATTTGAAATCATTTTTGTCCTTGTTGACACTTTGCAGCTTAAAACATAAAGACTTTGAAGAGGAGCCTGACTGTGTGCGGTGCTGCAGACCAGCTTCTTTGCCAGGGAAGATGCAGTGGGGCAACCTCGGCCGCTGAGCTGGTCGGCCTCCAGGCCTGCCATCCAGGGTGCTGGTTCCTGGTCCTGGGCCTGCGGCTTGTGTGCACAGGTTCCTTTCCCAGGGTTCAGCTGAGCTGCCTGCAGCAGGAGCTTGGATTTAGAGTTCTCATCTGGTCACAGATCTCAGTCGTGCTCCCTTATCCCTATGCCTCAGTCTCCTAGCAGATGATGGGAACAACAATTGATCACCCTTCTCTAGTAGGACGTTTGCGACAAGGATGGATTTTGAAAGTACAGAACTTTCACAGGAAAGGTCCATCCCCTGGTCCCCTGCGTCATCCCGAGGAAGAGCCTTCCAGCAAATACATCACATTGGAGCTAATTCAGCCCAGCTCAGCTGTCTGGTGGAAGGATCCAAGGTAGGTCCTCATCACAGGGGGGACCAGAGAGGACTGCATGCGCCACTCCTGCAGCGCTGGCTCATTTCCTGACCTCAGGTACCCTAACAGGTGCCAGCGGCCCAGGATGGAACAACTCAGTTGCAGGCGGGGAAAGACTGTGGAGGCGCGCCCCCTGGCGGCAGTGGCAAACAACGTTCTGGGGGATTTCCAGATGTCTATCCACCTGCCCTTGATCTTGACTTGTTCCTCCTAATCCTAGACTGAATGCACAATCTCTTTTCTCTCCATGTCGCCGCTCAGTCAACTTTAAGATGTTATTTAAAGGACAAGTGTGTCACATAAAGCACTTCCTGTCCCCAGAATTTTTTTCACTGGTGAAATTTTCTCATCTTTGTGTTACCTAGCCATATTGCCTTTAGGAATCTAAATAATTTGTTTCAAATTATACTTGAGGTAGACAGGACTCATCTACAGCGCTTCCTCTCTGACAGTTTCCATCCTTACTACTCAAAATGTTCTTCCAGAACCAATAGGGATCAACAGATAGCAGCCTTATGAGAGGACCTGTGAGAAATGCAGAATCCCAGGTACAACATAGACCTACTAAATCAGCATCTTCATTTTTTCAAAAACCTCCATATTCCTAGCCGTGCTGGAGATGGAGAAGCATGGGGTTGGTTGGTACTTCCTCACAGATGAGATGACTCAGGCTTCATAGCTCTTAGCTCATTTTGTCTTAGAACAAAATACCTGAGGCTAAGCAACTTACAAAGTAAAGAAGTTTATTTGGCTCACAATTTTGTTGGCTGGAGGGTCTTAACAGCACAGTGCCATCCTAGTGAGGGTCTACTGAATGCATCACAACATGCCTGGGTACAAAACAAAAACTGGGAGTGGGGCGTCCTTTTTAACAGTCTGCCTTGCGGTACTAATCTAGCTGTTCAAGAGTGAGAACTCTGGGAATAATCCACTGTGAACTAATTACCTCCATCTTAAAAGTTCCTCCACCTCAGAACCATCACACGGGACCAGGCCCCCAGCATATGAACCTCTGGACACACTCCAGTGATACCTAAACCAGAGCATCCATCAGCCGCATTTAGGTCCAGCTACATTTTACAGGCACTTTTATATGTATCTGTTCAATTTTCTGTATCTCATTTGTATTTAAACATCTCTTTTTTTAGAATTTTTTATTTTAAAAACAAAACAAAAAAGTAAAAACAATACTGAATTTTAAAAAAGTAGAAAATAACACAAGTTAATACATTACATATTGTTGTCTTAAAAGTATTTGTTCATATTACAACATTTAAAGCATGAAAAAAATCTATCAAACAATGAAAACGCAAACTTCAGTGAACTTACAGAGATTAGTAGTATAATTATTTATCTTGTAAATATATATACATAACATATATATATATATATATATATATATATATATATATGCATACTCTTTTCATTCCTCATTGCATGAATTTGAGGTTTGTCTGGGTTTTTTTCTTTCCTTTTCTTGGTAAGGTTGGTCAGGGGCTTATTGATTTTGTTTATTCTTTCAAACACCAACTCTTCATTCTTTGTTTTGTTTTCTTAGGCTCAACTGCATTAATTTCGGCTCTGATCTTTATAATTCCTTCCCTTCTATGAGCTTGCTTCTTGACTTGCTCTTCTTTTTCTAGAAGCCTGAGGTGAAGCCTTAGACAGTTTATTTGTGCTGTTTGTTTTCCTGATGTGAGAATTCATTCCTGTGTATTTCCCTCTTAGGACACCTTTCCTTGTGTGCCACAGGTTCCAGTATGTTGTCTCTGCATTTTCATTTAATTGTAGATATTGTTTAACTTCGGCCTTAATATCATCTGTAACTGATTGGTTCAGGAGAGTGTTCTTTAATTTCCATGTGTTTGTATAGTTTTTGCAGTTTCTTTTAATTTCCAGTTTCAGTGCACTATGGTCAGATCATATTCATGAAACAATCTCAATTCCTTTGCATTTATGTAACACTTTCTAAGGGATAACATATGGTCTATTTTAGAGACTGTCCCGTGTGCACCTGAGAAGAATATGTATTCTGATGGTTTAGGTGGAGCACTTGGTAAACATCTACCAGGTACATTTGTTCATAGATTTAATTCAGTTCTGTTATTTCTTTTCTGACTTTTTGTCTAATTGGTCCATTACTTTGTGACAATGCAGCCTTAAGTTCCCCCGATAAAATTGTGTTATCACTTATTTGGTTTTTTCATGTCTGTTAGTATTTGTTTTATATAGTTGGGTGCTTCTGTATTTGGTGCATATATATTTATAATTTTTATCTCTTGCTCTTGAATTTTTCCCCTAACATGTATGTAGTGACCTTCTTTATCTCTTTTGATCATGTTTGGTTTGAAGTTCACATTGTCTGCAAACAGAATAGCTACCCCCTGCTTTTTTCTGGGTTCCTGTCACATGGAATATTGTTTTCCATCCTTTGACTTTCTGTCCATGAGTTTCTTTTTGATTAGATGTGTTTCTTGTACACAGTATATTGTTGGATCCTGTTTCTTGATCCATTCTGCCAATCTATTTCTTTTAATTGATGAATTGAGGCCATTTACATTGATAGTTATAGCTGTGATATATTGGCTTAACTTTGCCATGTTACTTTCCTGTTGTTGGTTTCCTGCTTTACCCCCTTGTTTAATTGCTTGCCCTTCACAATGGTTTGTTTCTGTTGTTCTGAGAATTGTGGTCATTTTTTCCCTATTAGAATGTTCGTCAGTACTCTTTCTAGGGTTGGTTTGGTGAACATAAATTTCTTCAGTTACTCTTTGTCTTGGAAATATCTTACTTTTTCATTAATTTTGATAGATAATTTGCAGGGTACATCAATTGGAATTGAAAGCTGTTTTCTTTCAGGGCTTGAAATTCTGAGCTTTTCTTGACTTGAGAGTTTGTGTTAAGAAGTCAGCTGTGATTCTAATGGGCTTTCCTTTCTAGGTGATCTGCTTCTTTTCTCTAACAGCTTTTTTGTGTTCTGTTCTCATGCTGAATTTCTAGAACCTTGATTATTATAGGTCTGAGTATAAATTTATTTTGGATATGGCTGTTTGGAGTTGTATATGCCTCACTTATCTGTATGTCAGATTCTTTTCCCATAATTGGGAAATTTTCTGCTATTACTTCTGAAAATAGATATTTAATGTTCGCATTGACTCTTAAATTTTCATTACACCTACCTGTCTTATATTTATTTTCTTTGCCTTGTCTTGGAGCTGTTGAGTTTTTATTTGATAGTCCCTTATTATTGTTAAGAGTTCTTTCCTTTCATGATTGCTTACTGTGACCCTCTCTTTTTTAAAATTTTATTTAAAGAAAGACTAAACAAAACAAAATAGGTAGAAATAATACATACATTCAGAGAAAAAAACAAACAGTAAGAAATCACTAGTTGATATTTACATATTGTCATTTTACAAATAGTTGTTCAAGATACAAAAATGGAACATGTAAAGTGGGAATTCAAACAGCGAGACTGCAAACAGTTCTGTTCAACTGTCCAACAAAAACTTAGTAACATGGTTGTCAATCCTATATACTTAAACATACATGCAGTTTTCCATATCTCATTTGTGTTTAGATTAAACAGACTAAATCAGGTTAAAATCATTCTGATCAAAGAATAATAGTATTGCTGGATTTCACATCATCATACTCTGTGATCAGCACTGGGTACTGTAGTGTCTTTTTTTTTAATTTAATTTAAAGAAAGACCAAAAAAACAGAAAATGGGTAAAAATAATACATAATCTCAAAGAAAAAGACAAATGGTAAGAAATCACTAGTTGATGATTACAGATTGTAATCTTACAAATAGTTATTCAAGATATTAAAGTGGAGCTTATAAAGTGGGGATTCAAACAGTGAGATTGCAACCAGTTCTGTTCAGCTATCCAACAAAAATTTAGAAATATGGTTATCAATCCTATACACTTAAACATACATGCAGTTATCCATATCTTCAATTATGTTGAGATTGAATAAACCCAAGCAGACTAATATCACTCCAAACAAAGGATAATACTATTGCTGGATTTCACATTATGACACTCCAGGATCAACACTGGGTATTTTAGTGTCTCTTTTTCTTCAAAGTATCTGTTCATTTCATCATCTGTCATAAGATCAGTTCTCATAAACTGTTTATAGATTCTACACATGCATGAGTCTTAACATGTATTTCTATCCTTTCTATATTAGAGGGAGAAACAAAACAAAGCAAAGCAAAACAAAACATTCCTATAAACACATGAAATGAAATAAACATATAAGACCATTGTACAAATCATTCTACCATGGTTCCTGTGTTCTCTCTTGTTATCTCCAATATCATCAGACATAGTATAATTGAACATATCAATGCATAACAGTATTAATAAAAACACAACTTTGTATATAGTATAGAACTTCAAAAACCGGCAGTTATTAAACCAGAATGCATATCATAGAGTCTTGTCATTTTCCATGTAGTTGCCTATCCTCTCAGACTTGATACTATCAATCATATCAGTTTTGAATAAAATCTTCTCTGCCTCATTTCTGTTGTGCTCTTTTTTGCCATCAGTTGTCTGCTTATCTTCTTCATTCTGCTTTCTGCTCCATTCTCTGAGCCTCTCTGCCACTGTTCCTGGAATCCTAGTATTTTTCTCTCTCTCTAGAACGCCCTGGAGTATTCTCTGTAGAGTTGAATTGGTAGTTGCAAATTTCCCAAGTTCCTCTTTGTCTTGGAAGAATCTTATTTCTCCATTAATTTCTAGAGACAGTTTATCAGGGTATATCAATCTGGGATGGAGGTTATTTTCTATGAGGGCTTGGAATATTTCACTCCAGGCTCTTCTTGACTTGATGGTTTGTGTCGAGAAGTCTGCCATTAGTCTGATGGCCCTTCCTCTGTAAGTTATCTGTTTCTTGTCTCTAACAGCTTTTAATATTCTGTTCTTATATTGAATTTCTAGGATCTTGATTATTATATGCTTGGGTGTAGCTCTGTTTTCGTTGTAGGTGGCTGGAGTTCTGTATGCCTCATATATCAGAATATCATTTCCTTTTCCTATGTTTGGGAAGTTTTCCTTAATTATTTCTGTGAATAACTTTTGTAGTTCCTTTGTTTGTATCCCAACTTCTTTATTTACATTCTTTATTCTCAAGTTATAGATCCTTTTGTCATCTTCTAGCCTTTGTATTGTTACTGCTTGTCTCCTTGTTATTTTTAAAAAGTTTTCCCTTTCATTCTCCCACATTGCAAAATTGTCCTCCAATTTGGATAATCTATCCTTAGTTTCTTTCAAGCTGATTTGCCATCTTTCCATAGGGTTTTTAATTT